TATTAAAAATACTTCATCATACTACATTTATGGTAAATGTATTTGAACGGATTGTTTGAATTAAATTCGTTGCTGTCAGTCAGTTACGCCATGGAATCCACTGACTGATAATAACAGCTTCCAAATTGTTTTTCAGAGCTGTGCACATGTGCAGAAAAAACATTCCTTTTATAATGTTCATTTTCTGAAGTAACATAAATTTAACAATGGGAAGTTAATCTTAAGTCAATCAAAAGTTGAAAAAATATATAATTTACAACAAAAAACAAGTCTTTGATCAAGTTTGGAATAAAGAATTCGTAAGAACCTGTTCAAGCTTATTGTTATCTGACGAATCAGTAACCATAGCCTCAGGATATTCATCTCTCAGCGATGATTAATAACCATTAAAATAGCAAAGCATTGTCATTTTCTTTCATAGAAACCGAAATTACTGACACGGCTTGTTCTTGCCCGATTTTGCACTCAATTTCTTCGAAGTTTCTCTTGTTGCTTTCAAACGGTACTGCTCTTACTCTTTTTTATATAGACTATCAAGAAACAAATAAAATGAAGGTGATATTTGGGATTGATATGGATTGTGTTTTGGAATAATATACATTTTATAGGGAATTAAAACGAGTTCCTTTATATTGCAAGTTCTTTTTTATAATTTCACTTGCTTTCGATTTGAATTCTCTTTCGGCCTAATAGTTGGTAAGCTATAATTGTGAGTTATATCACATAGCAACCAGTCTTCTATTATTAATTTACAAAAATGCAATAAAATTTTAGTTTATTTTCAACATGGTAGACAAAAATCAGAACGACATTTGTTTTTATGTTTTTGTGAGAAATTGCAGTAATTATAAATAATTAAGAATAAACACTAACGTAAATGTAACGCGAATAAAATTTAATAAAATTTTTAGTGTAATTATTTCAGCTTGCGTATGATTTAATTTCAATTAAAACGCCAAACATTAGGTTCAGTTTTGTTTCATGTTTCTATAGAAGTTAAATTGTTTGCAGATGAAGGATGATTAAGACTTGCGCAACTATTCTTCATTGGAGGTTTGATAGTTGTGGATCATGTGCATCCATTGAATATTGAAAACCTGCATGTGCCAAATGACTTAAGTACTAAGTCACCGATCTAAAGATAAATCTTAGATTTTCACGGACCTCATTATCAAAAGCATGCCGGAAATACCCCAATAAATAAAAGTCTTTAGAAACTCTCTCATAAAAGGTGTTTTTGCACAACCTTATTAGCCAAATCTGAAAAACTACTTAGTTTATTCCTGTTGTTTTGAATTTTTGAAAGTTCTTGAGAATGAGAGGTTCCAATGCGTGTAAAAAGTGATTCGCTACGAAAGGAGAAAGTACACTTGCTGTAAGTTGAAAACATAAGATTTAATGGGTGCTTTCTTTGAGTTTAACAAAATAGTTGAACATATCATGTCAGACTATGACACGTTAGTAAACCTATGTGATAAATAAAAGATGAGTGTACTTGACTTGCACAAAATGAATCCAGTCCATTTGACAGTTCATTTAGTTAGGCGCCCACCAGCGGCCGAGCGGTAAAGTCGCTGAACACTGGTTGTTCAGTCCGAGGTTCGAATCCCGCGAACGGGCTGGCTGCATGGGCGTTTCGTGGCTTTACCCATGTGTAACGTGTATACGAGCCAGTTTCCCTTAGAACGTCCTCCACGAAGGCATCCCTTCCCCTAAGCAGATAGCCCTAGTGTGCTTTGCCGTAATTAAATAAACCAAACCAAATCAGTTAGGCAAGTACTTGGCGGCGTAGTAAATTATCCGGGATAACTGTGCTAGATTTCTGTTACAATCCTTAGCTGTATTCCACTGCAAGTTTCCATGCCTTGAATTCGCGACACGATGCTGGAATAATTCACGGCTAGGCACATCGGGAGGACACACAGTCTTCACTTGTCGGGAGGATGCATAGTCTTACCCACACCCAGAAGGACCTTCGCCTCTTGTGGATTCTACTGGTGGATTATATACTTTACCTTTTCTTGCTAAGAACAGCTACAAAGTAGGAATGTAAATTTCCCAATAATTTCATACTAACTTAAATTTTCATCACTGTTTTAAATTTTTTCGATTATGATGACATTCAAATCATCGAAAAACATAACAGAGTAATACTATATTAAAAATACCCTAAAGGATACGATAGTTCCATGATAATCAAAATCGTAAAAACAACCTTGTATTTAGCGTAAGTATATTGAAACACTCAATCGATTTCGAGGGCAGCTAAAGGTCCCTCCTCATCAGGAGAAAGAAATACCTAGAAAGAAGAAAATAAAGGGGAAGGAGTCTCAGAAACACGTGGTCCTTATCAGCACTGCACGTGGTTAACCAGAGTTGCACTGGCCGCCTACTTTTACTGAGCCAGGCTATCTGATCAAGCATAAAGGACAAGAAAAATTAGCGAAGTTAAAAATAGGGATCGAGGGGCAAATGCACCTTCACGCTCAAAATCTGAACTTCAAATAATAATGATTTCAATAATCAGATTCAATGAACTTCAATCTGAACTTCAATAATCAGATTTTGAGCGTGAAGGTGCATTTGCCCCTAGCTTCCTATTTTTAACTTCGCTAATTTTTCTTGTCCTTATGCTTGATCAGATAGCCTGGCTCAGTTAAAAGTAGGCGGCCAGTGCAAACTCTGATAAAAATCAGTTATAATCCAACGTGCAGTGCTGATAAGGACCACGTTGTTTCTGTGACTCCTTTGCCGATGCTTTATTTTTCTTCTTTCTAGGTATTTCTTTCTCCTGATGAGGAGGGACCTTTAGCTGCCCTCGAAATCGATTGAGTGTTTCAATATACTTACGCTAAATACAAGGTTGTTTTTACGATTTTGATTGTCACATTAGCATGTTTCTCTTCTAGTTTAGTTCCATGATAGTTCAAAGGGATTTCTTAAGGTATTTTACGCAATCTACCAGTCTGCTGTTGCACTCACTCCTGCTAAATCATTTATTTTTGTCTTTTTAGCCTTATTATTAAGCATCACTTTCTCTGAACTTACGCCATATTCAATATAAGTGCAAAATTACAAAAGTTTTAAAAGCAGTATAGTAGCTTATGTTTAGAATTATGGCATATCTGAAGCGGTGTTAAGTGTCGGCATACATTTTTATGTTTTCTTCAATCTTTTCTAAGTTCCTCATATCAATGTCCAGTTTTCTTTTGTTTGTACTTTTTTCTCTCTTGTTATTATTAACGTTTTGTCTGATAACTTTATTTATTAAATATCACTTTCTTCGCAATTACGGCATATAAAATTCAATTCAAAATCATAATCACAAAATAGCATATCTTTAGAACTTCCGATACATAGTCTCGTGGGCTGGAGATAAAAATTTTTATTCTGTACAGTGTTGCCATTACTCGCTTTCAAATCGCTGACTTTGGTAATCAAAAATTCATTAAGGTTTTGCAAAATGTGAAATATAATTTTCGAAATTCAAAATTTGGTACTCCAGGTGCACATGTTCAGGTTGATGACTACATTGCTCAAAATTTGAAGACTCTAGGTACCATTATATTTTTTGCAATATGAGGAGCACGCATACAGACATGGAGATTCTTTATTTTTTTTTTCAGTTTCTTAAGAAATAATACAAGGCGATAATATTTGGTGGCAACAATTTGAAAAGTGATACAGCCCTTTATTTGGTGTTATAATCATAGTTTTATATTTATTCAACCTGTTTCTAGAGATCCCGTTTCTAGAGAATCCCGTTTCTAGAGAAACAGCCTACTTGGGCTAATAACAAGGCACTTTATGTAATTTGACAACAAATTCCACATCCACATAATCTGTCAAGCGGCCCAGTCAGACACATCAATCTTAGTAAAAATCTGGAAAACCTTTTCGCTTCGATTCATATATTATGCATCAGACGAACTTCAGAATACTTTAAATCTGTATTTATAGTCACGAACCTTACAGCCCTGAAAATATTCTCTAAAAATATTAGAAGAGGAGACGAAGATAGCTGACATATACATTATGAGTTATCGCAAAGATCCGTCAATTATAAATAGCAAGAAGCGAAAATGGGTTAAGCTTTCCCAGACTTCCATTAACAATCAAGTTGTTCAATGTTGTATTGAATTAGTTACTATGAATGTTGTTAAACGTTTTGTGAAAAAAGCAGTGTTATCATGATATATAATTCTTTGAATTTATAATCGAATACACAGATTGAAAAGAACAGGTATATTTGCATAGGCATTATTATACATAAATTCTTATTAATAAATTTAAAAAATACACTAATTTAACTCTGTTCCCAAAAGTTTTTTGAATAAGACTGAAACAGTTACAATCTTCTTTGAAAAACCTTAATAAGCATTTTTTTGAGAAATCTATATAAAGCTAAAAATTAAATTCCTACATATTCTATTCAAGCTTTGCTTATCAGCTATTGTCAAACAGCATGTCGTAATTCAGGACAACTGGGAAGAATATCGACGAAGACAAATGAAAACCTTCACCGTAAAATGTAAACCTCTGTTCAAAGTGACGCCTGGTATTATGTAGGAATAAGTGGAAGGGGGGATGTATGGAACGCTGGGAGAAAGTAGTGGTCTAATAAGGCTAATCACGGTTCGAACATGACATAGTTGACCGCTAGCATAGTCCACCTCCGCGAAAGTAGTTCAGGACGGCTTTGCCTTCGGGCAGAAGGGAGTCATTCTATTCCATTTTGAGAAAAACTGGTGTAAATTATTAGATGATTGATCACTCAGTATAAAGATTTTTGTAATTCTGAAACTAATCCATAGATTATTCGTCCTTTTCTTAAGAAAGCCAAGTTTTTCATTTTTTTTTTCAAATTTCTAAACTTTGCTGCTTAAGAAATCAATTAGCATAATATAGTAGCTGTCATTATAGTGTAGTAAGCGTCATTTTAAAACCGTTACCGAGCAATAAAAATATCATGACCTGTTTCTGAGATTTTCCCACGTGTTGTGTTTCGCGAGCTGATGGATTTAGTACAAAAGTTTTTAACTCCTGTATTCCAAACAAATTATACACGAAGACTCAGTAAGTAGTTGAATATTCGAAGCAGTCTGCCTTTTAAAGAATGTAATTACTAATTACATTAAATTCATTCAATGATGTGCAGCTGAATTGCTGTACCAAACAATATTCTATAAGAATATAGAAAAATATATATGTGTATAATAATATTCTGTAATATTCTCTCTGTATATATGTGTATAACAATATTCTGTAAGCATGTAGAAAAGTGTACATATATATATATATATATGTGTGTGTGTGTGTGTGTGTGTGTGTGATCTTGAAGTTTTTATGGAAGAAGAAATCAACTCGATATTTAGTTATGGCCGAGAAGACTTGCAGATGAGAAATATAATCTTTCGTCATCTTTAAAAAAAAATTTAAAGTGCATTAATTATGTTTTGTAGATAATAGAATTCAAAAAGCTTGAATTTTACTTTTCATAAATTTTGTCATATTCTTCTTAATTCTAGGAAGGTTTTGAATAATAAGTACTTGCTGGCGTAGTGCAGTAAAAAATCTAATTTCAAAATAAGATATACATAAAAAGGAAGCACAAATAATAATAATAATAATAATAATAAAACTGTTGTGTGTAATAATAATTTGTGATATCAATGCCATATCTTCAGTTATAGTAAAGAAACATTTTCGTTCAATGTAAAATTTAAGAGATAAGGAATAAATTTTATTAATATACTTTTAAATGATTAGCTGTGCACCATTTACTGAATAATGTTTTTATAACGTTATTTTGCTTTTGATTTGATGTAGTGTTTCTAGACACTACGAGTTACCTATTATCCTTAATATAACAACACGCTTTCTTTTAAACTGTGTTGATTATCATATAATTTTCTTTAACTACTTGGTTATCCAACTATTGAGAAACGTTTTTGTAAATTTTTCTTACGAGATATACACTTGTCGTTTCCATCCATCTGAAGAGAAGCTCGAAATAAGTACATTACATTTTCTGTTGTTTTATTTTTCTATATAAAAGTTAACATGAATTTGAATGCTGGTAACAACCCTTTTATAGACTTGGGATTAATCAAGGAGAAATAAAACTTATGAATCCATCATGTAGCCCAGTTTATATCAGTTGTCACTACTGCCTATTATAGAAATTAAATATTTCGGTACGTTTTAAAAAGGTTTGAAATCTTTAAAATACATCGCATCATACTGGCTGTGTAGAAGACTGAGGCCATGAGAAAGATCTTCTGTTCAGCTTTTGACTTCCCACCGATGGACAATTTCTTAGAGAGTGCATACGAAAAATATTCATTATAAGAGTTTCAACACAAAACATTAAGATATTTCATATTTTCTGATTGAAGCTATAACCGTAATAAGCTTAATTTGTTACCTGTAGACACATTATCAAACCTCGACATTCTTTTAATAACAATCTAACTAATGATTTTTTTAAATTATAACTTGCGCTGTGACAGCACTGCAAGTTATCGCAATGTAGCAGTCAAGAGCGACACTACTTGCAAACTGCTTATCACTGTTTTAACATTTATGTCTATATCACTTGCAGGTCTTCTTTAATCTTTCTCATCTGTCATCTTTAAGGAAGCTAATCATTTCTGCAAGACAGTTTTATTCTAAGAACGACTCTAGAAAATGTTTGTTGGTCTGTAATCAAGGTATTCATTAATTGATGGTTTTTAAGTAAGCCTATGCCGGATGTCTGCTTTCTGTCTGCCAGACGACTTTCGAGATTCCTTCAACAATTCTGACAGCTGAGAAGCTTTTAAGTTTTTAAAAAGGAAATGTTTCTCAAAGCGGAGCCTGGAAATTGTTGACTCTTTGAAAAATATATTCTTTATTTAAAAAAAAATAAATATATTTTTCTATAAAGACGATTATCTATGAAGTTATAGTAAAATTTAAAAGGTTAAACTGGATATTTTATTATGTTATTTACTTGTTTATAATCAATTGCGAAACGTTCTGCGAAAAATTCTGCTGATTCAACTGCGAAAAATTCGTCGGTGGGAAATTATTTTTCCTTCTGCATAGTACCTGCTTCCAGAAAAAGTATCTAATGTCTCTACAGATTAATGTTTTTCCTGTCTATCTTGAAGAATGAAAAACTAAATCGGAAGGGACAAGTTGTTCAATGATATGTACGTCATAAACTACCATTCGTATACATAGTATTTACCAGATAGCTTATTTGTAACAGTATGTTAGTAATTAATTCGTATTGATTATTTATTTAAATTAATTTTACTATTAAAGTATGAGTTATATTTTTGTAACTATGTTTTGGTTAAATAACAGGTAGAATTAGATCTCCTTTAGTTTTGAAACCAAAGCTTTGAAAATGCTTTCGAAAGCAAAGCCACCGTGTATCCTTTTTAAATATGCGTTTTAAATGAAAACGAAACTTTTTGTCGTTTAATCCTTCAATACCTTCGGTGTATCCCTCAGATATCAGTCCATTTTATTTTTTAAACATATTGAAATAGTCGGCGAAAATTTAAATGTAAATAGAAATTACTGACGAGATCTTTTCATTACTTTACTTATTATTTCATACACTTACACATTTAAGTGATATGAACACGCAACGCATATTGGTATGAACACGCAAAATCAAAATTTAAATGTAAACTATGCATTTTCAAAATAACACTTTGCAACAAAATCTCCTAATCTGAATGAACACATATTTTTCTCAAATTTAAAAACAGTAATGAAAAGTAAAATTCAATAATTAAAAAAAGTAAACAAATAGCGAAATGTGATTTTGACAAACTTGAAAGAGATGGGATATTTTTTAATAGCAAAAGATTTCATAGTTAGAATAGCTATATTTTTCACCGACTAGTGGCGTTTTAACGATTTCTGAGAACTGACATTTTGAATAGGATTGTATGATATTAACACAGGATCATCCTTAAGATAAATCTTTACAACACCCAGCACATACAAGAACTAAAACAAAACAGATTTTGAGAGATGTCAGGAATTTCCAATCTATATTTCCCAGCAGGTGGAAAAAAATGCGATTAGGCTTTGAGAGAGATTATGTTATTTCGAAGCAGGAGGCTTGAAAAATGAGCAGTGCCCTCGCGGGGACTCGAACCACGGACCTCTCGAATACGAGCCGAGCGTGCTAACCGCTACAATACGAAGGCATGCTAAGAAGGCGGGGAAAATACCTTATAGGCTGTCAAACCTTCTGTGAACTGACGAGGCGCATGTTTCGCTTTGTTAGGTATTTCCCGCTCTATTCGGCTAGAGGGTACTGTGACGTTCCAGTAGCCAGTGGTAGGCGGGTACGTGTATGTTTCAATAGTTAGTGGCAGGCTGGATTCTAAGGGTGTAGTACGTGGAAAGTAGAGATGCCTAATACTGTATCTGTATCTTCAGTTTATTTCAGTTTCTTACATATTCTTGTAAATAAATTTTATTAGTATTTTCGAAAGCCTCTTTGATGCACCTATGCGATTTAAAAGTCCATTCCATCAGCCAAATATGACAATCTGGTGCAGGCTGAGTGCATCATTTATCAAAGGCGCTTTTTTGTTTGTAGAAGTCCGGAGTGGTATATTTGAAGAAGGCTCTGTTACAGTCAGTGCTTCCAAGAACTTCATTCCTTTCTTGCAAGACAGATAGTATTTCATGGCGTACCTAGCACCGTCTGCAACAGTGTCCTTAGTCGCTCTTTCCCTCGCAAATGGCCAAGAAGGTCTTCAGAGTTTATACCAGAGAATTTTAAATTATGTGGACACTTAAAGACACGAACAGAAGGCGGCTGATTTTAAGGAAGTTATTCGTCTTTACGAATTAAAGAGAAAAGCCAGAGGAACTAAATTTGCCAGAGGAACTAAAATTAGAGAAAGCAGAAAATATTGTAAACAAATTCTAGGTAGGAGCTCAGCGACAGCGATAGCTTTGAGAAAAAATCTTAGCTTTGAGAATGGAGCCTTTTTATTGCTTATGGCCCTTGACCTGTAAAGGAAAGAATAAGAAGACAGACGGTACATTAATTATTTTCTTGACAGAAATTTTGTCAGAAACTTCCCACACCGTGCAGATGAGCAAAATATAGATGAGCATGTGTGGTTCCATTAGGAAATGGTTTATAATTAATAATTGTATTTCAGCTCTTGTGTGTATTGAATATTCAAAGACCAAGTGTGCAAGTTAGGAAGAGCGAGAAAAAGAGAAGAAATTCTGGTAATTGTGTTAATAACTCGTGTTTTGAGCCAGATGAGAAAGCGAAGAGAAACCATGGCAGCGATTGACGGTCTGAGAACAGACCATGGAAGAGTATCATCTCGAATTTGTTCTTCTTATTAAAAAGCTTTTTCATTATTTTTAGATTGTTTCTGAGTCTCCAGAATCCATAGCATCTATCGTGTTTTATACTGACGGTTCCATTTACACAAGTACGTCACTTTATCTGGTAAAAATTGAACGTCAACTCTTGAAGGAATTGTGTAACCAATTCAAATTTTATTCCTGGCTTGAAAGAGACAAGAATGATATTTATGTTTCCTTACTAAATACATGTTTGATCTTTATCTTAACTATATCAGCTTGTTCTCTTAATAGTTAGTTTACACCCATTGTACTATTTGGAGAGTTATGCATTATTTTTAAACAGAACTCAATATTCTTTCTAATATCTTATAATACACCCTTGTTCTGTAGTTTATCATGTATTTTGTTTGAAGTGTTGAAATGCCTAGACTAGATGTTAGTACAATGTATAATATGTTCTAACATATAGAATGGTGTTATAACATCGGCAACTACCTTGCTCCTGAATTCGCGGTCGATGATTTTCCTTGGACATTTTCACTTGAGCTGGCTGTTACTGTGCTGTCGGAAACAGCCTCTGAGTCTTTTGGAACTTCTCTGCTGTGGTAACTGCCCACCAGCGGCCGAGCGGTAAAGTCGCTGAACACTGGTAGTTCGGTCAGAGGTTCGAATCCCGCGAACGGGCTGGCTGCATGGGTGTTTTTGTGGTTTTCCCCATGTGTAACGTGTAT